GGGGGGGGGGGGGTAGAGGTGGAAGGTGAGAGGAGGGAGTCTTGAAGCTGCTAATACCAATGATTTTTCCCACAAAGGGCAACTCCCCCGTGGGGCATCCCTGGCTCCTTGCGGAAAACTCAAACCCAAAATAAGTGCGTTTGGGAGCCTGCTGGGCCAGGGGTAGCCTCTGAGTCCAGCTCCATTTAGACGGTCTCTTCCATGGACCTCTGAGGCTTTCTCCCTCAAGTGCTGTGTAGGTAACACCCCTGGAACGCCACAGGGGAGAAAGAGGTGGTCAGACATCTGAGGAGCACAGAATATCGGGCTAGATCAGAGGTTAGAGGTCCTTACTAGAAGCTCAGGGAGAGCCACACCTGTCTGGCAGTCACCTGTTTCCTGGGTCGCCCTGATATCCTGCCACCCAATGTCCTTTCTTCACTTATAGGGGAGAAAAGAGAGGCCCAGTACAGTGGTGTGATGTCCTAGGCCACTGAGAACAGTTGGCGGCAGAGCCATAACTCCTAACTCCAGCCCAAGGCTCTCTTCATGACATCACAAACCCATTCATTTTAAAGAAACAGGGTTTGGAAAAATCTGGGTTCAAATCCTGACTCTGCCATTGACTGGACCTTTGTCCTCTCATCAGTGAAATGGGGATAATTATGGTAATAATAATGGAGCCACATGACCCACATAGGGAACGTGGCCTTGACTGTACTAGCTCATGTAATCCTCCACTCCTCACAGAAAGGGTTCTCAATAGCTCCACTTTGCAGCCAAGGAGCTGAGGCTTGGAAAGTGAAGCCACTTGCCCAGGGCTGCACGGCTACTAATGACAGAGCCAGACCTCAGAGTCTGATCCTAGAGCCCCTGGGGATCTTAGCTGGTCCACCATTCTACAAGCCTGTGAGCAGTACCGAGTGCAAGGAGCAGAGAGGAGTGACTACTGGAAACTGAAGGACTTGTGAGGGCATCTAGTCACTCACTCACATACACATGGGCAGCCCCCTGCTTGGGGGGAGGTAGGGAGTAGAGTTACATGAGACTGTTCTTGGCTCTAAAAGCTCCCAGGCTAGCTGGAGGGATAACACAATGACAAACAAGCTAAAGAGAAGGTGAC